TGATCGATGATGTGGAGTGTGCCTAAGGAGAGTCACATGGAGAAAAAAAGATTCTCTCAGGCTTTCACAGAGAGCACATTGGCCAAGCAATGGCTGTGATTCATTCACATGGCTGACACTGACAAAGGATCTGCAGTCTGAGGTACAGGATGTCAGGATAAATCCTGAGGGAATTTCACTGACCTTATCAGACCCAAAAGCTACAACTCTTGTGGCATAGGTCTTGCTTTATCTTGGTCTTAACCATCCAGCAGAAAAGTATAAAAACGAAGTATAAGAAGTAAAGACATGCTGTTTTGTTGAGCTGTAGGGATTTCAGGACAACAATTTCTGACACTGCCAGTCAAGTGGAAGACCCAATACTATTATGGACTACTGGACTCTTTTAGAATATTTTGCTGAATTAACACACCTATAATATTCAAATAACGGAACTAAACAAAAAAGGGGATACAGATGAATGTCCATTTTGTATCTGTGTATTCAAAATGGTGAGGATAGATATATAGTTACATTCTTTTAATGAATAGAGGGATTTGTTGTAATAGTGTTTGTAAATAGGATGTCATGTCTGCCTCTTGTACAGCAATTAACCACTAGGAAGAATGCATGCAATGTGTTAATTATTGAAACTGTCCTACCAATTTAGTTTGAAACTGTCTCATTGCTATTTGTTTCTGAATAAAATTATGGAAATAAAAAATAAAAGAACTAATAATAATCAGCCAAGGGTCCAGAGTTCGATCCCCAGTGTGCCATGCTGACACCATCCGGCGTGTACTGAGACAGCAACTGAAACGGGGCATAATGATGCATGCCTTTAATCCCAGCACTTGGGAGGCTGAAGACAGGAGGATCAGTATGAGTCCAACCTGTGTAGTGAAACCCTGTGAACCCAGTACTAAATACGTTAAAAAAAAAAACAAAACAAAACAGCCAGCCCTTAATAAAGAAAAGTAAGGAAAAACAGGAACAGGACTCCAATCTGAGCAGCAGGAGGCCCGCTTTTGAAAATTAGCTTAGGTGATTATTATTCTCTTAGTCCTTATCTCTGGAAGAATCTTCAAAGCTGGACAGGTGGTTCCATTCTCATGAAATGACTGTCTGGGTGGTGGTTTCAGCCAACTGAAGCCGTTTTTCTTGGAATGTAGGTAACTTTCAGTTTAGGGAGATGAACTGGAAACTTTTGGCTGTGTCATAGTGGTAATCTAGGGTAGTATAGTATAGTTGAATAGACCTGTAAATCTTCTATTTTGAATTTCTCAGACTTACAAAGTATCTTTATTCTTAGCTGAGCTTTTGTGAGATGCAGGGATCTAAACCCAAAGATCAGATTCTAGGCCTTGGTTGCTTCACCAATTGGTACTAGAAAATAGTTGGTGCTAGCTGTTCACCATGTACAGTGTTGGACTTGCTTCAGCAGTTCTGGGTTTGGGCAAATCCAGTAGCATGGCTTTTGTGGTCACTGTGTCAGAAAGCTATCTCTGGCTATTATGGGCCCTTTTTTGCTTTTAGTAGTAATGGAAATTAGCATGTTCACAATGGAGTTGTAAATTGTATGTCTCGCTTCTAGAACCATCTCACTCCCAGACGGTGCTGAACCAATCCCATGGAAAAGTTAAGCATGTTTAGGAACAAGTTTATCTGGAATGTGATAGAAAATGGTAAGGGACTTTAGCTTGAAGATCAGACTAGCCCTTAACAGAAGAATAAGAAAACGGAAAGACTCCAGTTTGAGGAGCTGTAGGGGCACAGTGTGCTATAAAGGCTCAGGCTGGCCCCCTGTTGCATATTGTTTGGTTGATTTTTAGAGTATTATTTTTGGAGTTGAATTTTGGAAGTTTTGAGCTGAAAAGGCTCTAGGGTATGAGAAAATGATCTGCTTAAAAATTCATTAGAAAACATTTTTTAAAATGAGAAATAGATGTGTGAGCAAAAAAGAAAATAAAAATTATTTACAATTTATTGAAATACAACAATTTACTGATGATATAAAACCAAGACTTTAATAGAGAAGCATATTGTTTCCTTAGAAACTTAAAATTAATGTCATCGTTAATATGTCAGTTATTACCAAATTATTGAATATGTTTGATACAATTGCAGAGAGACTCATAGGTATGTTTATAAGTTGATTGTAATACTCATCCTGGTCAGGCAAGGTGGCACATGTCTGTAATCTCAGCACTTGTTTGGAGCCCCAGAACCCCAGCACTTGGGAGGCTGAGGCAGGAGGATGGCTCTGAGTTCAAAGTCTGCCTGGGGTACACAGTTCAAGGCCAGCCTGAACTGCATAGTGAAATCCTGTTTCAAAAAAACAAATAAGACCCCATAAAGTTTATCCTAGGTAATAAATATGGCAGAAGACCTAAGATGATGATGATGAAACAGAATAAGACTTTATATATAAGAGAATTTTATTATAAATGTGAATGTTTTTGAATTCTCACATTCAACACAACACAGTACACCTCTGACACCACTTTCTCCACACTGCAGTTCACTTTTGACACTAATTAGAGTTAGTGCATAGCCCATGGGTTAGGAACTCCATTTCAAGACTGCCAGTCACTTTAGGGGCCATTTGCAAGTTTCAGGTTGTAACCTACACTTCTGCCCAACGAGGTGTGAAGAGGGATTTTCAGATCCCCTTCCTTGGGTTTGATTATTTGTTAAGACAACTCAAAATTCATAGAACTTTCCTTGGATTTTCCAGTTTATTATAAGGCTATCACAGAATGTACAGATGAACAGCCAGATGAGCAAATACAGAGGGAAAGGTCTAGAAAGGTTCCTGAGAACAGGAGCTCCAGTCTTGGTGGACATTGGGTACCCTGCCCTTCTAGCACATGGATATGTTTACCAAATAGAAGATTGCTGAACCCCCTAGTTCAGGGATTTTAAATGAGTGACACTGGGGCATGATTGTTAACTCAATCTCTTGTCTTCTCTCCCCTTCCCAGAATGTACTGAGGTTTTCTAAACTTTTAATCACAGTTTCATCTTTTTGGTGATCAGCAATGTCTAGGAGTCCAGCAAGGGTTGAAAAGACACTCCTGTCACCCAGGAAATTCCGAGGTATTAGGAGTTTATGCTAGGAATGGGAGCAGAGGCTAAATGTATATTTTTAAAGATATATTACGATAGCAAATTCATGATTTACTCAAATTGAATAGGCTGTTTTTTAAAAATGGTTTTAGAATTTTATCTGTTATAGATCAATAGATTATAGGTATATTAAATGCTAAAGGAAAATTATATAACTTAGGAAATAATAGAAAAACATGGACTATTTAGCTTTGTAATTCCAGTGCTTGGAAGGCTCTAACAGGTTGATCACTATGAGTGAGACCCTGTAGACCCTATACTAAATACTTAAAAAAAAGTGGGGCAAGTAATGAACTGGAGTGCTGGAGTATTACTGTTTTGGATAGGGTAATAAGGAAAGTTCTCAGTGAAAAGAGAGCATCAGCAAAAGTCCAAGGAGGGAAGGTTGACATGGAGATATTTAAGGGGAAGAACATTTTGGGCAGAGAGAGAGGCAAATGCTGAAGCCTTGAAGTGGTGCCCAATGTGACTGATTACATTGGAGGGAGGGGGATTAGGAAAGGATAAAGTATGAAAACATGACGCAACCAGTTTATAGGACCTTTAGCCAATGTAGGGATCTGATACTGTATTTT